CCCCCCACCCCTCAATACCCAGCAGAAACTATTTTGCCCTTATCTCTAATTTTGTTGTAGAGAGAGTATAAGCAATAATAGGAAGGAACAAGGTTTTTGCTGGTTGAGATAAGGATAGCTATACAGGGCAATTGAACTCACATTGATTTCCTGTGCCTGGGTGTTACCTTCTAGGTTAATTCTTTTTGATATAACCTTTTCTCTAGTGCCTGGTCCCCTTTTCCTATTGGCCTCAGTTGCTTTTAAGGTATCTGCTTTAGTTTCTCTGCCTTAAGGGCAACAAATGCTAGCTAGTTTTTTAGGTGTCTTACCTATCCTCACCACTTCCTTGCATGCTCTCACTTTTATCATGTGCTCATAGTCCAATTCCCTTGTTGTGTTTGCCCTTGATCTAATGTCCACATATGAGGGAGAACATACAATTTTTGGTCTTTTGGGCCACTGCCTTCGCATTTTCAAAGCTCAGGGTTTAATCCCCAACACTGCCACCCCTCCCAAAAAAAAAGACACATGAAAACTGAGAGATAGGAAATTTAAGTAACTTTCCTAAAGCTAGACATCTAAAAATTAACTAAAATGGGTTTGAACTCAGGCATTCTGGCTCTGAAATCTGTGTTCTTAACCACAATACAATACCGTATCTCAAACAATTTAAGTCCCTAAAGGCAGCAAATATGCTTAGTTTCTCTTTAGCATTTCCCAGTATTGTGTAAGTATACCATTGGCTCACAAATGGAAATGTCTAAATGAAAATTGCTCAGGTGAATGATAAATTCTCTAACATCAAGCTACCTGGAACATTTTCAAAGATTTGTGATATCCAGTGTGAGGTGATTACAAAGAACAAGATGGTTGTTTCAATTAGCTGATGGTGTATCTTCTTCCTTTCTAGAAAAACACAAACTAATCAGAGGACCAACCTTTTCCAAGCTTCCCAATGGGATAATCCAATTCAGGCTCAAAGGCATGGAAGTTTGGGTTGGAAAATACCATCATGGCTTCACTATAATTTTTCTTGACTTGCTGACTACTAAGATATGACATGAGAAAAAGGTAAAGTGAATCTGAGATTATATGCTCAGAGGAGACAGCACAGTGTTAATGACTGAGGATGTAAGAAAAGTGGAGAAGAAAGGAAAACTTATAAACAATGACAAGTAAGTCTGCTTTTGGTGTATTAAGTCTGTCAACAAAGACATCTGTTAGCTTAGTAGCTCTGTGTCCTGCCAGTCAAGTACTTATGCACTGCTTCTCGGGAAGACGCTTAGTGGCAAACATTCTATGAAGACAAACACATTATATGAATGCCATCAAACATGTTGGAGAGATTTCTAGCTCCTACTAACCCTGTCTGAGTAAATCTGAACAGCTCATTAACATCCAGAGAAACATCCAGATCTGAAACTCCAATCACTGTAAATCTTTCAAAAGTGAGACATTCTATAAAAATAACTGCAAATAAAATATGTTTCCTACTATTTTGATAAATCAACAGTGCTTTGTTATTCACAAACATCTAATTCTAACCAGAATTTTAATGCAATGATTTGAACAAACTTGGGAGCAATATTTTATTTCATTTACTTGAGGATAATCATTGATTTCCTACTTAGATGCTTCCTAGTATATTTAATTAGTTCTATGTGGTCAGGAATGCAATTTTTAACTAGCCTACCTTTCTTTCATATGCAACTTTCCTTGAGGCATAAGGATTTAATATCTCTTCATAAGGAAACAATCATTTGGATTTTATTTATATAAAAGAAAAAATTTTACTAAATGATATCTTTCTCAAATATTGGTCATATTATAATTTAATGTTTTTATTTACATGCTAATGTAGACTTATTTTATGCACTAAGGTATTCAGCCTCTAAAAGGTTTTCCAATGACCAGAGTTCTGGGATGTAAAGGAGTCTTGTTAGGTAAAAATAGGAAGAAAACTAAATGGCCAAGAGTATTGGGTCAGAGACTACATTAGTCAGCTTTCCATTGATGGAACAAAATACCTAAGAAAATCAACTTAAAAGGAGAGAAGACTTTATTTTAGTTCAGCTTCAGAAGTTTCAAATCATAGCTGGTTGGGTCCAGTGTTTTGGGACCTGAAGCAAGGTGGAACATCATGGTTGGGGGCACTTGGTGGAGCAAAGCCACTCACCTAATGGCACTTGAAAGCAAAGAGAGAAGAGGTCAAGATCCCACTATCCCCTTCCATGTCATAACCCCAATGACCTAACTTCCTTTCTCTAAGCCACACCTTCCAAAGGTTGTACCATTTCCCATAGTGCCATGGCTGGTGACCAAGCCTTTAACACATGAGCCCTTGGGTGGCACTTTGGACCCAAACAATGACAGGCCCTACCAGCACCATTCTAATTAATTTTTAAACCTAGTAATAAACTACAATTTTATATACAATGTTGTTTAGGGGAAAAGAGTTTTGGCCATGAAAGTAAAAGGAGTACTAATTGGGAAGAGAAAGGGGACAAACAAGGAGAAGAGGGATAAGGTGATAAAGGGGGGAGGTGAATGTGATCAAAGTACATCACATACATGTATGAAAACATCATAATGAAATCCATTATTTTGTTCAATACAAAATTTAAAATAAAAAGACAATCTCCTGGCTAAAAATATATGCCAATAAAATCCTTTTTTTTTTTTTTTTGGCAGTACTGGGGCTTAAACTCTGGGCCTAACACCTGCTAGGCAGGCGCTCTACCACTTGAGCCACTGCACCATCCGCCAGTGAAATCCTGATGGAATTCTATTCTGCAAAAGAAAAATATTGTAAATTAATGTCTAGTCTTTTAGCTTTTAAAAAGATCATTATGTATAGTGGTTTGCAAAACAAAATCCTTTAGCTATTCTCAGCTATTGGTTTAGGTAATGTAATATTAAATAAAATCTCTAATCACATATCATAAAATATTTGATTCATAATTTAAGATAATACACTCTCCCAATCTGGGAAAGGGTTAAATATTTAGATAGCTTTTTTCTCAAACAACTACATTATCTTTCACAATATAATTATCAAACGGAGGTAAGTTTTATTCTCTTTCTTTATACATACCACTTCATTCTTAGTTATTTGTACCTAAATTGGCTATTTTCCTTACAAAATAGTCTACTATTTTACTAGGTTTTTTTTTCTTCCCTGTGAATAGAAATGTAGCGTTTCTATCATACAGCAAAATTAAATCATACCTTATGCCTGTAGTTCAAAGATAATTTAATTTCATATTTCTTCATTTTGTTATCTCTATATTATCCGAAATGTTAATTTATTATTCAGAAATTTTTCTACATTCATAATGAAAAATTACTTCAATAAATTTCATCAAGATTCTCCAAAATCTATTTAAGTTATATAAATAAGGAATAGTCAAAGCCTTCTAGTATGATTTCTTCAGAAATATCAGTATGTGACCAAGTAGAAATTAGATATTCATGAGAATCATTTTGTGCAAAACTAAATTATAGATTCTTTATTACTCTTCATCAACTCCTTAAATTAAGAAAAACTAATAATTTCATAATACTAGACAGAAGTTTTGAAATTATTTTATTTAACACATCTTTTTATGGTTTGAGATGAGGAATCTGAAGGTCCAGAAAAGAGAAAGAGCTTCCTACTTAAGAGTGAAATTGTGCCTAAAACAAAGTCTTCTGTCTAAAGCCTTTCTAATACATCATCTTGGAATGTAATTTATAAGTAGTAGTGTCTGTGTGGGGGGGTGCGTATGAAATAAGGAATTTGCTTTTTCTTTTCTTAATTGACAAATAGTAATTATATATATTTATAAAGTACAGAGTGACATTTTGAAACAGGTATACAACATAAGATGATTAAATCTGAGTAACTAGCATTTCCATCTTCTTAAATATTTCTAATTTCTTCAGGGACCAATGAGGAAAAGCATCATTTTCAAAAGCAAATAAAAGCGATGTTTAATCTGAAGAAAGCATGCTCATGATTGGAAGAGATATGTTCTTAAAGGTACTGGAGGTTTCTGAGGAGGAAGGAGCCACCGCCATTTTGGGAGCTTCGAGTCAACAATAAAGGGCTGAGGGTGCCGAGCGGGAGTGGCCTCAGTGATTGAACTGAGTGAATTCAGATATAACTCAAGCTTGTTGTTTGAGGGCTTAAAAAAAAAAGTTGATTCGGTGCATGAGAGCAAGTTACTGCTGCTTACTGTTCAGAGACTTACAGGTACTTGCCTGCATTGCAATAAAGGACTCATATATTGAGCAAGACTTATATTTATCTCTTCATTTTGGAGAACCTAATGAACTGTTATTACAGTTTCTCTACTGACTTTCAAGTTTTGAAGTTTGAAAGAGACACCTTTGCAATTAACACAGCATGAGCAAGGCCAGAACAGAGAACCGTTATAATGGGTCTGTCCAGTCAAAATGGTCAGCTGAGGGGCCCTGTGAAGCCCAGTGGTGGCCCTGGAGGAGGGGGCACACACACAGCAACAGACGAACCAGTTGAAAAACACCAACACAATCAATAATGGCACTCAACAGAAAGCACAGAGTATGACCACCACTATTAAACCAGGTGATGACTGAAAAAAGACTTTAAAACTCCCTCCAAAGGATCTAAGAATCAAAACTTCGGATGTGACCTCCACAAAAGGAAATGAGTTTGAAGATTACTGTTTGAAATGGGAGTTACTGATGGGAATTTTTGAAATGGGCTGGGAAAAGCCATCTCCTATTCAGGAGGAGAGCATTCCCATTGCTTTATCTGATAGGGATATCTTATCTAGAGCAAAAAATGGAACAGGCAAGAGCGGTGCCTACCTCATTCCCTTACTTGAACGGCTAGACCTGAAGAAGGACAATATTCAAGCAATGGTGATTGTTCCCACTAGAGAACTTGTTCTACAGGTCAGTCAAATTTGCACCAGGTCAGCAAACACATGGGAGGGGCCAAAGTGATGGCAACCACAGGAGGAATCAATTTACGGGATGACATAATGAGGCTTGATGATACAGTACATGTGGTCATCACTACCCCTGGCAGAATCCTGGATCTTATCAAGAAAGGAGTAGCAAAGGTTGATCATGTCCAGATGATAGTATTGGATGAGGCAGATAAGTTGCTGTCACAGGATTTTGTGCAGATAATGGAAGATATTATTCTCACGCTACCTAAAAACAGGCAGATTTTACTGTATTCCGCTACTTTCCCTCTTAGTGTGCAGAAGTTCATGAATTCCCATTTGCAGAAACCCTATGAGATTAACCTGATGGAGGAACTAACTCTGAAGGGAGTAACCCAGTACTATGCATATGAAACTGAGAGCCAAAAAGTACACTGCCTCATTACACTTTTCTCTAGGCTTCAGATAAACCAGTCGATCATTTTCTGTAACTCTTCTCAGCAAGTTGAATTGTTAGCCAAGAAGATTTCTCAGCTGGGTTACTCTTGCTTCTACATCCATGCTAAAATGAGGCAGGAACATCGAAATCGTGTGTTTCATGATTTCCGAAATGGCTTATGCTGCAATCTTGTTTGCACTGATCTGTTTACCCGAGGTATTGATATACAAGCTGTGAATGTGGTAATAAATTTTGACTTCTCAAAGCTGGCGGAGACCTATCTTCATCATATTGGAAGATCAGATCGCTTTGGACATCTTGGCTTAGCCATCAACTTGATCACCTATGATGATCACTTCAACCTGAAAAGTATTGAGGAGCAGCTGGGAACAGAAATTAAACCTATTCCAAGCAACATTGACAAGAGCCTATATGTGGCAGAATACCACAGCAAGCCTGTAGAAGATGAGAAACCTTAAGAAGCATGCTTTGAAAAACTACAGAAGGCTCCTTGGATCTGCCACACATTTTTGGGGGGATGCTCTTCTCTTTGTGGGTTTTTCATCTTTTTTTTGTTTTTTGTTTTTTGTTTTTTTGAAACTATGAAGAATTAAAAAAGAGCTCAGACATTTTTCTTTTTTTAACTGGTGAAGAGAAAAAACTGAAAAGAAATATACCTTTTTTGTTCCATTTGTTTGCACTGTGTGTTGACTGAACATTAGTTGCACTAACTGCTGGTTTTTAAAAAATGTTTTCTGGGGAAAGGGGACAAGGAAGGAGGAAAAAGAAGAGAAGGAGAGAAACCCTAAAAAGAGAAGACTCTTATTCTTGATGAACACACAAGTTCATCTACATCTTCAGAATTCTTCAACAGCTGACTTTCGAGTGCATTTCAACTTCTCCCTGATTATCCATCTGTTTTTAAGCCCAAAGAGCTTATTACTTATTTGTGCCTTATGCTATGAGAACATTCAGAATATCATCTTTTAGACACAGCCCAAGGAATCAACAAAATAATTTTTTTTTCTTTTTAAAATTTTTGTCTGTTCATTTTGGTTTCAAGTTGAAGTGTCTCTCTTCCCATTCTACCCAGTTCTACCCAGTACTCGAGCCCAGGGCTGGAAGATGAAACTTACTAGTAACATTAAACACCATTATCTTTTTCTGTACGTGGAGGAGTTGATATGCAACTGCGGTTCATCCGCACTGTAAATACATGTATTTAAAAAACAATCTGGGCTGAGTAGATACAACACCTTCGCTCCCAAAGGAAAGAGCAGTCTATCATTGCAGGAGCCATATGACAAGCCTTTGTGCTCTATTGCAGAACACTAAAGAGTGGTTTACATATGCCTCCATTAGCAGTATGGCACTTGATGTGTAGACATGTCAGAGCCTTGACCCTCTTTCCTCTGTGGCAAAGTGTATCCCATAGAAAATTGGGTGTGTATACTTGTATAAACTTTGTAAATAAGTTTTTTTCTGGGTTCATATATATATATATATATATATATATAATACATATATATTTTTTTTTTGGATGAAGGTTGTTGGGATTAAGGGGATTAGAGTGATTATGGGAGCAGCTAAAGATGAGAGGGGCTCAGTTTTCCGCAACACTAAATTCTATAAAGTACTTTGTCCTCTTACTGTAGAGAACAGACCTCTGTGGGATCCATGTGTTAGAAAAGGAACCCAGAAGTCTGGGATGCACTGTTTGCTGCCACACTGTCTCATCTAGTACACATGGAGCACTTTTACCAGAAAGCAAACATCTATAACTCAAGATGATTTTTTATGAAGCTCTCTGATTTTGCTTCTAAAGTTTGTGGAACTTTTCCAAGCTCTGCAAAAGTGGGTACAAGTTCATCTTCCTTGCAGTGTGGGAATTCTACTAAGTGGCAGTGTCTTTTATCAGAATATGTATAAAGCACTAATTTGCCTTTCAGAATATTAGCCAGTACGAGCTGTGGTGACGTTAGCAGTTCTGGAGCTTAATTCTCTGTGGATCATCTCCTGTAGTGTGTAAATGTGTTGCCCTCTGCCCACCTTGATACATAAACTTTTGCAGGAATGGGCAGCCCCTGAGAGCTGTTAACTTCATGCTGCAGAAAGCTGCTTGCCATCCTCTTGCATTGTGACAAGAACTGTTGCCTGTCATTTTGCATTGTAAATTGCTGGCAAATGCTTACAGTCAATAGTGTTGCTGTAAATTGTGCCCCTCCCAACATGCTTGGCATTTGGCCTGATCTCCAGGCAAAAGGAGTGAGATGAATCAAAACCAGTGAACTTTTTTTTTAAATGTTTTTACTTCCCTTTTAACCCAGTGTACTAGGTCAATCAGGAGACATCTAGAGAACAAAAAAAGCAAAAAACAAAATTTAAAAAAAAATTGATTTCCATATTCCATTTTTTTTTTCAAAACCTTATTACAAGATAAGTCCTGCATAGCTTTCATGCTTAACTAATCTGGGTAAAGAAATCAATTATTCAAAGTTGCTTTTTTGACTCTGCCTAGTTCTAAGCAAAACTATTTGTGACTCACCCAAAATTCCTGGGGGATCAAAATCCTGCAGATGCCTCCTGATCAGACATAGCCCTAACTCTTTAACAACTGTAGCAAGAGCTGCACAGTGCAAACCCAAAAAAGAGCAAGTTCCTTTATGTAGAATCCAAGTCACATGGTCTATACCTAATTAAGCAAATAACTTTTCAGGGAGGGGCTGGGAAGGGGACTTTAAAAGGTATCACCTTTTGGCCAACAAATCTTGCCCTTGTACTGATGCAGCTCTCTGTCCCTCACCTCTGGCAAGATAAGAGGGATCATTCATGTAACACAAGCAAAGGAATGTACATGCAATTTTGTATCTTGCCAGAGAGCATGTGGGTGTTAGACAAAAATTTTTAAAAAGCGCAGTCTCCTTTGCAGAACTTAGACTGCTCTACCTGGTGCCACATACCTGTGGGTCCCTCTTAAAGCACAGACTTAAAATTGAAAATATTACTGAAGTACAGCCTCTGCTGAGAAGGGCACCTAAACTACTGGGCACCACAATTGGACACGGTCCTTTAGAAAGGCAGCTGTCTGGTTTTGGTGCTTGAATGGAATAGGAACAGTTCAATGGAAAGATGCTCTAAAGACTAGCCAAAACCTGGTCTTTTTTTTTTTTTTTCTTAATCCCTTTTTAAAAAAAAACACATTGTTACTATTAGAAATTCTCTTCAGATTCTTTGCAGTACTGATGTTTGGGATTTTTTTTTAAAGTAATAGTTACTTATTTTTTTCCAGTGTTTCATTTAGATGACAGCTACTTTCTGTTTTTATCCAACTTATGGTTTAGCCTTCTAGTAGGATAGTTGTGTAATAGGTTATGCACTGTTACACACCTTGCTGCCTCTAAGCCTGTTTTGTTCTTCTTTCCCCTTATGTTCTGAAGATGAAAGAAAGTTTTATTGCCTTTCTCTTAGGAATGGAATAAGTTCATCCTAACATCTTTCACAGAAAGAAGGGAAAGGAAGACCTGTGTTTTTAAATGATTTGCAAGTAGGTTCCAGCAGCATAACATAGGGCTGGCCCTAAAGGGTGGGTGGGTGGGGGTGGCTGTCATTTGTTTTCAGAATGAGATGGGAGCATCTTTCCTTTGCCACTTGCTTTGTGTTTGATGCCATCGTGCTTGGCTAGAACAAGACAACTCAGCACAAAGCCTCAAGTGTGAATTATTGAAACCAAAACATCTCATTCTGATCACTTGGTTGAATTTTTCTTTTTTTTTTTTTTAAATAGGGGTGGGAGGGAGGGTACTATGTCCCAAAAGGGAGGGTGTCTGCACTAAGGATTTAGAAACACATTGGAAGCTCATAACCTCATCAGAAACTGCCTTTAGCCACACTCCTGACCTTCTAGATGAGTAACAAAAAGATGAAATAAGTTCTTGGGAATTAAGCCATGGTTATTTTAATTCGCTACATTTTTCAACATTCTGTGTATCTTTAAAATTGTTATTGTGGAATCATTTTCTTGCCAAATATCTTGTCCAGCAAAATTATTTGCCTGGTGGGAGCTGAATTAAGTCAGCTTTTTGGTGAACTTATGTGGACTTTGGTGAGTTTGTAGTTCTGCTTTATACTCATACAATAAAACTCCCAAAGAAAATCAGCTCTCCTCTCTGATCTAAAAACTCATCTTTGGAGTAAAGAGTTAAGTGTCCAAAGGTTGTAACAGTTTATGAGGTCAGAGGGAGCTAACCTGGTACCTGGACTCTGCCCCTCCATAGCTGACAGATTCCAACAAAAGTGTATTTAAATTCTCCAGTAGACAGTGCTGGGCAGGGTGAGGGAGGGGGTAGGGCTGGGTAATTAAGATACAGGCTGCTGTGTTTTAACCAGTGGTTGTTGGGGAGGGGTGCCTGGAGAAAACAAAGTTGCTTCCCTTTTTTGAAACAAACTTGAAAAATGTAATTTTTGTTCAGTAAAAATGGGAGAAAATTCTAATGTCCCTAGCCACAAGGAACCAACAAGTTCCACTGGGAAGTGAACAGTGGCAACTCAAAATTTTGAAAACATTTTGGGGAAAGGGAAAATTGGCTTTCTGTTAATTGGCAATGTTCCAGTGGGGCTCTGTTTTTTGTTGGAATGTGTTCTGTTGCATGTACACATATTTGGGCCAGTCTCTCCTGAGTTTAGATGGTTCAAAAGGATGGTAAAATCTTGATTTTTTTTTTTTTGGTTAAATATCTCAATAAAAGCCCACTGGAACTCCAAAAAAAAAAAAAAGATACTGGAAACTGGTATTTAAGATGAAGAACTATTGAGCACTCCAAGAAACAGATAATCAGTCAGGCATTGTGGTACATGCCTATAATGCCAGCTACTTCAGAGGCAAATATCAGGAGAATCAGAGTTCAAGGACAGCCAGGGCAGTGAGAGCCCATCTTAACAAGCAAGGCAGGTATGATAGTACATATCTATGATCCCAGCTATGTGGGAGCTGTCAGTAGGAGGCTCCAAGTCCAAGGCAAGCTGGGGCAAATACGCAAGATTCTTTTTCTTTAACTAGAAAAATAAACGAAAGCAAAAGACCTGGAGGTATGGCTCAAGTGGCAAGAATGAGGCCCTGAATTCAAATCAAACACCAATACCACCAAAAAAAGAAATAAAAGAAACAAGTAATTTGAAGGTATTCAAAATCCTGCTTGACTACAAATAAATGAAAAAATGCTTGGTCACAGACAATTGAAATTGAGATTAGGTACTGGAGACACAGACTAGCAATTAAAATGCCATTGATAGACCATACAGAACCAATTTAAACTAAGGCAATTAGACTAATATAGTGGGATTGCAAAATAAATCTGTACTACCAACAATACATGAAAATGAAAACAAATCTAGTCATTTCCACAAACTAGGGATTTGGAATGTGGCTGTGGTAGAGGGCTGGGTTTGTGGTCCTAGATCCTGAGTTTAATCCCTAGCACCACAGAAGAAAAAAAAGTAGCATTCCATGAACTAAACTATACTGAATAACAGCAAAGTTTAAACTTTCCAATTAATATCACCTCAGTCACTTTGAGTTTAACTAGTCTCTTTCAATGAAAGGGTTTCCATGAGGGTTCGGGTATGGTACAGTGGGTACAGTGCCTGCCAAGCAAGTGCAAGGCCCTGAGTTCAAACCCAATATGTTCCAAAAAAAAATGCTCCATAAGCTCCCCTGTACTTTCCAGAAACTGCAAAAATGGTATCTCTCTTTTTTTAATAAATTTTTATTAGGATATCTTCATTATATGGTCAGGGGGATTTGTAGTGACAATTCCAATTAGACTCATATTTTACATTATTTACATTGCTCGCATCATCTCTTCCCCTCAACCTCCTCCCCACCCCACTTAAAGCAATTGCAAGAGGTTTCTTAGTTCTGTTTCATATAGGTATATGAAGTCCATGTACCATATACCGTCACCTTAATCTATTTCCTTCACCTTTCCCCTCCCACTAGTACCCCACACACACGCTGTGCCTATTTTACAGTACTAGTTTTCATTATTAAAATTTAAGTTGAGTTCAAAGGGTTATCTCCACGTATGCCCACCATAATGGGTATACTTTACTTTGATCTGTTCAACCCTTACCCCTTTACCTCCCGCCCACACTCACCACTTTTCAACAGCTTTCAATACACATCCTTACATCCTCTACCTTCACATATTATGTTATGTGATATCACTTATGCTTTATCATTCTCTTTTCCTTTCCCTCTTTCCCTGAGCTCCAAAAAGTAGTTCCATTGTTACAAACATGTTCTATGTGTGAGTTTGTATATGATCATACTTGTTTTTGAGTATATGTTTATCTTTGGATCTGTCTTCCA